GGGAAGTACCGCCGTGTAATCCATTTATTTCAACAAAGTAACTGTATTCTAAATACCACCTTTTTAAACGGTAACTGTAACGGAATACAGTTACTCAGATTTTGTATTTTAAATACGTAACGGCGGTACATGTATTCCGTTACTCCCCAACACTGCCTGTGAGTGCATTGAGAGAGAAGACAGAGAAGCTAAAAAGAAACTTAAGAAAGCATGTGAGCATCTTCCATTCAGGTCAGATTGTCTGAAGAGAATAATGAAACTATAAAAAGGGCAAAAGAAGCTGTAGCTGACGCTGAAATGTTTGTGTGGGTTGCCATGACAACTCTAGAAGCGCGTCTGAGATCGTTATATTGTTTTCTATTTGTTTTCTTTATTTGCTACTCATGCTTGTGTACATTTGCTGTAGGAAAAGATAATCTATGAATCCAGTGATACATCTTTCTTATAAGAAATGTTTCTGTTAAAATATTATTGTGAAATAGTCACTTCCTGTGAGTCGCGATAACCGGAAGTTGTGCGCGGGAGAGACAAGACAGGACTTTTCGGAATGTACAACTTTTCTACTGCTGGTTTTACAAGGCGTACACGGTAAAAATCATTATGCTGTTATTTGTTTAATACTTGTGCACTTTGTGAAACGAAATAAGTGGCTGAGATGAATATCATATGTGCTACTGATATTATTTTACTTGTTTCTAGTTTTCACGGTGCTCCATGATTGTGAGAGGAATAAAAGAATTGTGGACGTCAGTACGAAGCGTGGATTCTTTCGACCAGAGTAGATACAGAAGCTTACCTGAGACTTAAAGTAAGTTTCTTGTGGGGTTGATAATATATCCGCTGAGGCAATGTCCAGATGCAGGAGAATCTGTCGAAACGAAGGTCTATTTCTGGGCTTGCAGTTCCTGTGAACAGTTTAAATCATGGCTTTATTAGCGTCCCCCTCTGTGTGTGACATTTATTCTTTCCACCTTCTTAAAGCATCTTTCCTCTCAACTATTTTATCTTTTTTCTTCCCTCCAATTTCGTCTCCCTTCACGTCTGCTCACCAGCATTGCCTCAGCAGCAGTTTGAAGCTCTCTGGACAGCTGTCGGGCACGGGCAGCTGCAGACTGTTGTTGCCCACTCCCCAGATGATAGCGGAGGAGTCCACATCCTTGTACGGCACCTCTCCTGTCAACATCTCCCACAGCACAACACCGAATGACCTGCAGAGATATGAGCCATGTTTTTTTTTCCTCCAGACATTTGGATAAAGATGTGAAGTTGGCAGATAAAAGGCAGCCTCACAGAAATGTCACACTTTTAACTTCCTGGGAGAAGGAAATCTTGCTTTCTGAGATATTCCAGCAGCTGTTTCTGATGGATACCATATGCAAGAGCTCCAGTGCCTTATAGGGAGTCTTTGATGACTTAAACTTAAAGCGAACCTATAATTCCCCTTATATACTGAATATCTAACCTGCCAATCACATGGAAGAAACTCGGTGCATTTAGGGAAGTGCTCATAGATTTCAGAAGCTGCAGATCTACTGGATTTTCTCACACGATCGTCTCTAAGGTTTGAAGAGAACTGGCCATGAAAGATAAAATATCTAGCAAGCAGCAGGAGGAAGGAAATGGGAATTTATTGAAAGAGATTTATTGAAAGGTTCTGTTATAAATAAAAAATACAGCATAGAAAGGCAGAAAAAGGCAGAAAGAAGAGCTTTGAATGACATTCAAGACATCTGGAGAAACGTTTCTGATGAAATGACAAAGAGTATTGATTTTTTTTCTGCTCCTATGTCATCTATGATGTCATTAAAAGTGGCAGTCCTCAACATTATCATTTCAACTCTGGCTTATAAATAAGGATTATGTAGTAAGTTGTGGATCAGGTGAACCAGCTCTAATTTTTCTAATGTTTTATGGGATATTTTAATTAATTCTGGAAGAAACAATGTTCGCTAATCATTTTGATTCAAGACATACAGCCGATAAGAGCCATAATAACACTTATTCCATTACACTTCACTGTTTCAGTTTAGCATTAGAAGAAGAAGAGAGCGCACCCGTGGGGACGGTAGCTAAGGAACGTCTGTTGCTGGTGATTCTCTGGGTTGCGATGGAGACCGTGTACAATATCCAAGGTGCCAACAGCACCTTAACATAAGGTTAGGTTGGTTTATGATGCTGCGTTTCAAAATGAGTCCTTCCATCTCCATGTTCACAATTTTTTATATTAAAGGAGAATATGTACTGATGATCCCAAGGCACTGCATTTATTTTCCCCTTGGCTTAGAAATTTAATAAAATTTTCTCTTGACTTGTGAACAACGTTAGAGACATTCAGGAAATGTATGTCATAACTAAATCAAATATGCACAACACATGTAAATACTTAACAACAGCCTCTCCTCCTCTGGCACTCTTTCTGTCAGAAACAGTACTGCTAAGCGATTTACATATATTTAAACAAAACTGTGCAGTACACACCCGTGTTTTGCTTTGCTTCTACATCAAAAGCTTTTTAATCCTATTTTCACTTCTCTGCTAATGCACTGCTGGCTCTGGGCCAAAGCATCCATAGGCTCGGAAGGTTATTCCAGCCTCTCCTGAGCACTGCAGCATCTGGCAAATCAATTATTAAATTAGCTGGCGTTTCTTTCAGGACACAGACGAAGACTGATGGAGGAATACAGTATCGGAGAAAAAGAGAGGCAGAGAATGTGGAGGGGGGAAAAAAATGAGTGCTTATAAGAGGGCAACCCATCAGAAATAGCAGAGACCCTATAGAATTTCATGTAATGAGATATTGTAATGCTGAATAGATTGGCTGGGAACAGGATCCTTCACTCTGCACCGTAGTAGACGGCAACTAATGAGATTCTGTGTTGATTTGGTGACAGATAAGAAAACTCTTATGGTAAAATTTCAATAATGCAAAGGGACAGTTCAGAGGAGTTATGACACTCACCAAATATCCACCTTCTCCGAGACCGGTTCATTACGTATGACCTCGGGGGCCATCCAGGCTACAGTGCCAGCAAAGGACATCTTAGTGCTCTTGTCATTGAGCTCCTTAGACGTGCCAAAGTCGGAGATCTTCACTGCGTCGTCATAGGTGATCAGTATGCTGGAATGAAACATCCCATCCATCAGGTTTAAACAGTCAGTAATAAAACACATTAGCACTTCATGTTTTGTCAAACCCTGACCAGTGGTGAGGCATTTGGGGACTTTCACTTTAATTAATTTGCTCACAAATTATACTGTTAATTGCAATTAACTAAAGCAGTGGTTCTGAAGCCGTGGTTTTGGAAGTAAGCGTCACAAATCTGAACTTTTCCCCCCACAAAGACAACATGTGACCAGCTCCTTGTACTCTTATACAGCAATAAAGACGCGGTTTAACAACCATTAGAATAGTTTCCGGGCTTTTCCAAGGGTAGCTGCAAGGCAGAGACCAGCCTCACTAACTTTTGATGCAAACCCAAATTTGGGGCGATCATGGCTCAAGAGTTGGGA